GGTGGGAGGCAGTATGAGAGAGGGGGAAGAATCAGTGAGAGAGGGGAGAATTAGTCAGAAAGGGAGGGAGAGAGAGATGCTAGGAGGGAGGGAGAGATGCTAAGAGGGAGGGGGAGGTAGGGAGAGATGCTAGGAGGGAGGGGGAGGTAGGGAGAGATGTTAGGAGGTAGGGAGAGATGCTAAGAGGGAGGGGGAGGTAGGGAGAGATGCTAGGAGGTAGGCAGGAAGGGATGGAAGTAGTGAGAATTAGGGAGGGAAAGGCAGGCTGGCAGGCACAGGCAGGTAGGCAGGCTAGCTTGCAGGCAGGCTGGGAGTGAGTGAGTGGTAGTCACGCGGTTGAACCGTGTGACCTTGAGAGTATGGGATGAAGGGGGGCAGGTGGTTTGTCAGTGGTGGGGGCGAGACCGGCTCATTCCCGAAGATAAGCCTAACACATACTACCCGTTAGCATGATGGCAGGGAGGCAGGCAGGCAGGCAGGCTGGGAAGGAGTCAGGCAGGCTGGCTGGGAAGGAGGCAGGCAGGCAGGCTGGCTGGCTGGGAAGAAGGCAGGCTGGCTGGCTGGGAAGAAGGCAGGCAGGCAGGCTGGCTGGCTGGGAAGGAGGCAGGCAGGCAGGCTGGCTGGGAAGGAGGCAGGCAGGCAGGCAGGGAAGGAGGCATTCAGGCAGGCAGGCTGGGAAGGAGGCATTCAGGCAGGCAGGCTGGGAAGGAGGCATTCAGGCAGGCAGGCTGGGAAGGAGGCAGGCAGGCAGGAAGCGATATATGGGTGTTGAAGTGAACCGTGAACCACGTGACCTTTGAGAGAGAGTGTGTGTGTGTATGGGGTGGGGGAAGAGGGGGAGGTGTGTCGGTGGTGGGGGAGGGACCGGCTGACTCCGTAAGCCTAGCCACACTCCACAGACCTGTGACCCAGATTTGTTTCTTAAATGTACAGTACATCATCGTATATTTTAGGCAGGATGTTCCTGCAGGCTGGCAGGAAACATTCAGAGGATGTTTGCCAGACGTCTTAATAATCAGTTAGGAACAATTAAGGACTCTTATAAAGCGGATCAGGACTTCACTTATTGGGGAGTACAAACAAAATACGGTCGCATTTACGCCATGAACCTGTCGATTTTTTTCCCCCTAGAGTTTTTTCATAAATTTTTCGTACCAATTTCTTTTAACATTTCTAGTTTATTTTTTCCCCTCTATTTCTCGTATACGAACTTACATGTTAACCGACGGGTCTCGTCCCCAAGGGGTTCAGAAACCAAGTGGTGCTCTGTACTGTATATAAATTCCTTAAATTACACATTATTAAGTAATATTACTGCAAAAAACTAGAGTTAACACCATTCAAAGACATTGAAATAATTATGTCTGGCGTCACTGGCACTCAACAGCCACACCTTACAGCTAACCTTGTCATGATGCTGAAGTATCACACAACTTCTGCTGCTGTATCCATTTACATCAAATATACATCTAGTTCCACATTGTGTGTATTGCCCAACCTGTTATTACTGTCACTCGTTTGTCTGTCCATTAGAAAAACTGACATCCAATTTAGTAATCCGTCCGTCACCCATCTAATGTGTTGCAACTTCTAAAACGTCTCTCGTGTGGGACTCGTTAAACGATTTATTACGTCCAGGTATGTGCAACTGGGCCAACCTTTCCTTTGTTGCCAGATCTCTGTAGCTCTGTTGTAAAAGCGTGATTTGTTACCCAAGACTTTCCCATTCAAAACTAAACTGTCTTATGTCATTCCTTTCCAAGAATTCTACTCAGATTTTAATTATTCATTCTAGTGTTTTTACTACTATGCTAGTCAATGATACAGGTCTGTATTTTAGTGGGTCTTCCCTATTTCCACGCTTATAGATTGGAAACTGTTTGTCCATTTCAATACATTAGCTCGGTTCCCCAGTTTGTAATGAAGACAATTTATGTTTAGAACAATACTGTATAAATCTTAAAACCAGAGATGGGGATTAACTAAGTCTAGTTCAACTTAATCCTTGTTGCCTGCAAATTTGGCTGCTGTAGCCATGTCACAATGACAACTTTGTAAACAAACTACTTGAAAAGTTGCCATTTTGTGAATAACTTCACAGATAATGTTAAATTACTGGTGAGAATATATGACCTAGGCAGCTGTTGTGCCCTTGAAAATGACCTAGACATTGATTGTATGGAGCAAAGAGAATTCATTATGGATGAATGTTACATCATAGTGTGTATAAAAGGCAGAAAATGAAGAGCTCGGACAGAGACATCTAGGGATGTATCTGGACATAAACCGTCACCAGACGATTACAACAAGAGCAGGCTACTTTAAGCTTGCTCATTTCAAAGTCTTTTAAATTCCTGGATGAAGACATCTAGAAATTGTTTAAACATCCATGTAGGGACCATCCAATGCCTTTAATGGGAGTTTACCTATCAGTGTGTGAAGGGGAGCGAGATGCAACCCTATAAGCCCCACCTCCTAACCGTCTATACCTGAGCAATAATTATCCTGTTCAACAATTAATGTTTCCGTCATATTTTTTCTTAAAGTTGTTCAAGCAATAGGCTTCTACAACCTCTACCTTAAATAATGCATTCCACTTGTCAACCACCCTTCGACAGTTCCACAAAAGAGGTTGTTCTGGAAACTGGAACATACTGGAGGGGTGACAGGTACGCTTCTAACATGGATGACAAATTTTCTACCCGACAGAAAAATGAGGGCAGTAATCAGATGCAGAGGCAATGTACCGGACTGGAGAAATGTCACGGGTGGAGTACCACAGGGTTCAGTTCTTGCACCAGTAATGTTAATTGTTTACATAAATGATCTGTCAGATGGAATACAGAATTATACGAACATGTTTGCTGACGATGCTAAGATAATAGGAAAGATAAGAAAATAAATTGATTGTCATGCCCTTCAAGAAGACCTGGACAAACGTTTATGGAGCACCACTTGGCATATAGAATTTAATATAATAAATGCCATGTTATAATATGTGGAATAGGAGAACATAGACCCTGCACAACCTATAAATTACGTGAGAAATCTTTAAAGAATTCTGATAAAAGAACGAGATCTAGGGGTGGGTCTAGATAGAAAACTATCACCAGAGGACCACGTAAAGAACATTGTGTGAGAAGCCTATGTTACACTTTACAAACAATTCTGAAGTTAGAAACATATGGATAGGGAAATACTAAAGAAATTGTTCACAACTTTTGTTAGACCAAAGCTGGAATATGCAGCGGTTGTATGGTGCCCTATTACTACAATCAAGTAATTACACTTGGGAATTATCTGTACAGGGATCAAAAACTTCCCTAGATGCAGTCTGCCATACTATTTATCTCTTCTGCAAGACCTCCGTGGCTCCATCAAAACCAACTACTAAAAGTAAACTAGTTATGAAAGCCATACTATCAGTCCATTATAATATAATTTCTTTCAAGATGTTCTACCTATTTGATATAAATTACTCTAATGTTTTGGGCACCATAAGAGTCAGTGATACTTGTATATATAGTTAAGTGGGGTCGTCTCTGCTGGGGCGTCTAAACATGTCCGGAAAATAAGTTACATCTAGAAGCTAAGCTCCAGCGTAGTGTCTCTCAAAAAGGATGGTAAAATTCTGTCTGGCCTGACTGCTGTGTGCAATTACCCAAGCATAGTTACACCAAGAGAGCTACTCTTGTTGTGCTCTATCTTTCCATCTTTGTCATCATCTTAAGACAACATTTTGAATCTCCAGATGGTTGCGACATGCACTATTAAAATATTCCATCCATTTGCATATACCCAAAACACCCTGCATATTAGTGGCTTTATGTTACACACATTTCTTACCAACAAATTCTCCACTGTATCATTTATCAGTGGATTTATTGTATAATAAGTTATTTACATACAGAAAGAAATCACACTAACATGATATATGTAACGTGAAACAGTCATGTTAATGTGGGAAAAAAATCAACTGGATCAATTAAGTGACTGGAACCAGAAATCAGGGCACTCCACGTCGTGGTACTGGGGCAAGGTGCACGGCTGGGAGCCCTCTGATGAACCAGCAATCAGGGCACTCCACGTCGTGGTACTGGGGCAAGGTGCATGGCTGGGAGCCCTCTGATGAACCAGCAATCAGGGCACTCCACGTCGTGGTACTGGGGCAAGGTGCACGGCTGGGAGCCCTCTGATGAACCAGCAATCAGGGCACTCCACGTCGTGGTACTGGGGCAAGGTGCACGGCTGGGAGCCCTCTGATGAACCAGCAATCAGGGCACTCCACGTCGTGGTACTGGGGCAAGGTGCACGGCTGGGAGCCCTCTGATGAACCAGCAATCAGGGCACTCCACTTCGTGGTACTGGGGCAAGGTGTACGGATGGGAGCCCTCTGATGAACCAGCAATCAGGGCACTCCACTTCGTGGTACTGGGGCAAGGTGTACGGCTGGGAGCCCTCTGATGAACCAGCAATCAGGACACTCCAAGTCGAGGTACTGGGGCAAGGTGTACGGCTGGGAGCCCCCTGATCGCTAGTTCAAGTCACCTCATTGTTCCAAATGATTCTCATACTGTATTTTCATTATTGTTTGAAAAAAGTATCAATGCATATTTTTTATCAACTTTTGTTTCATTAACTTTAATTTATTGCTTATAGTTCACAATGCTGCAGATCAAAGCTCTTCATGAAAGACTGATTTATCATTATCTTGGAATCTGATCAACTGAATCCTTCGTGCTCAATTCCAATTCTCAATGCTGTATGGATATTTATCACACGTCTTCCAGATAAAGTATTGTATATACAAAATATTCTTATATTTTTTGGCACATTTTCCCTCTGTTCTTCCTGGAATTTTGGGGTGTATCTTTTCTGTTTTGTCAGGATCTCTTTCTCATATCTTGCCTGTTGTCACTGCACAAACTTATAATCTGCAATTAACTACAGTAAATATTAACAAAAATATTACAAAGAAGCATCAAAAAACAAAGGCTTACTGAAACAGGTCAATGGAAATGTCGCGGTAGAGTGGATCCTTCAGACGATTCTATATTCACAGGACACTGAGCTCCCGATGACCCCGATGCATGTGTCAAGTGGATGTCCCAGATTAGATCCCAGTAGTTCTCTTTAAGACCGTGAAGGATGTCTAAATGCATTTAAACCTGAAAATAAAGAACATGATATAGATCCAAACAGTCTTAGTGGCTCAATCTCTCTTTTTATATTAACAATCCTGCCTTGAGGTGGTTTTGTGTGTCAATGTCCCCACCGCCCAGTCCCTGACCAGGCCTCCTACATGTATCCTGTATACAAATGATACCTCCTTGTATATCATAATGACTGGGCGCTTCCCCTAATATTGGTAATTCCCTTCCTTGTACAAAAATTTGACATACTAGGTCATAAAAGATGCAGATAGCTCTGACAACCTAAAACTTAATGAAACAAAACTCCGAAACATGCCATCAGGCAATTTCCACTTTGTACACCATTCCTCTTTAAGAGTGGTGAAAAAAAAGAGCAAGAGTGATGCAGGAAATTAGCGACAACTCGATGGTAAACAAATACAGTGAAGCTCCCGAATAGCACAAGATGTTTTGATTTTATTTAGTGCAACAGTACACAACCTTAATAATACATGCTATTAGTATTGGGACTGGCTTAGGGCTACGGAATCTGTATCTAAACAGCCAAAGATTTAGCAGTTTACCTTTTATATCATTTTTACTGTGATGTAAAGGATCACCAAGCAGAGAATAGCTTTTATTCGTAACATTTTGCCCGAGAGAGCTGCATCACATCAAAGTTACACAGCGGCTAATGCTCGTGACAGGACGAGGTGAGGGAGGTCGAGGTCAGCGAGCCAAGGGTGAATAACCACAAGTTCAACATTACTGTCTCTACCTACATTAACACTTCATAAATAAAGAATTGCTGTTATTATGACTTTTGTAAATAATGTACAGTACTGTAATCTTGTGTAAACTACCTCAATTATAAATATACAAACATTTATGAATAAATGTTTGTATTTAATTATGTTTATTTGATAATGTCGTATCTGACCCTCACTGACCTCGTCCCACCTCACATGTTACATATAATAACCTTAATATGAAAATAACATTAACAGAGACAATTGTTATTCCATGAAGAAATTAATCTGACATCATTCAAGAATTCCTTGCAATGTCTCTGCTGTCCGACATCCTTGACAGTGACCCCTCAGTTTGTCAGGTACTTTCCAAGCCAGTTCCTCTCCTGTCTCTCTAGGCCTGCCTCTCTGATCATGTGCTAGGCTGTTCAGACGAACGTATCGTATCCTTTTATGTTCATGTTCAGCTTGCTCTGGCTTCTGTTAGTTTCCAAATCTGACAAACAGTTTTGCAGTTTAAATCATCTTTCTGCCTGTACCTATTTACTGCCAGGTAGACAGATGTTTGGTATAAAGAAAATGAGCATAAATGTCTCTCCCTACACGAAAACTGAACTTGGGACCAATTGGTTGGGTGATGACCGAGCAACACATCATACAGTACTCCAGGAAGAAATCCAGCTGAATTTTAAACTAATAATGTACTGCCTCCAGTGTAAGACATGCCTTAGAGCCAGACTTATTTGATGTTGCATGAGCATGTGTGAGGAGGAGGGGGGAAGAGGGACACCAAACCTGGGAATAACACTTATCAGGCCTACCTGTTGGGTGTACTGTAACAGAACATAAGGTCGGATACATATCTTAAGAGTGCATGTAATTACCCAATTGTAATTACCCAAGTGTAGTTACAGTATGAGAGCTACGGCTGTGGTGTCCAGTCTTCCCAGTACTCTTTGTTGTACAACGCTTTGAAACTACTGACGGTTTTGGCCTCCACTACCTTCTCCCTTGGCTTGTTCCAACCATCTACCACTCTTGTTTGAAAACGAAAACTATGTTTTTTCGACGCCTTTGTTTCTTTAGCTTGAATCTTGTGTCCTCTTGTTCGTGATGTTGCTAGTTTCAGGAATTCCTCTTTATCAATTTGATCGATTCCTGTTAGTATTTTGCAAGTGGTGATCATATGTCCTCTTTTTCTTCCATCTTCTAGTTTTGGCATGTTAAACGCCTCTAATCTCTCCTCATAACTCTTGTGTGAATATTCTAATGCTTTTAGCTTACTGATCATGACTGTCTTGAGAAGCACAAACAGGTGACACTGGAGCAAGTCCCAGCAGTGCTGGTCGTGTCAACTCACTCACAGCTGCTGCACCACCCCCACCAAGCTCAATCTTAAATAATAATAATTTAATAGTAATTCATTTTAATAGTAATTCATTCACCATAGCTCCCATATAGGCTATGGGAGCCAGGCAGTTATATACTATACAGTATATATATATATTATATATATATTATATATATATTATATATATATTATATATATATTATATATACAGTATTATATAACATGTTTTATTAGTTTGTTTTGATGTTCCAGCAAAATTTCAATTATTTGTTAGCAAGAGACAAGTTAGGCCTCTAAAGTTTGCACAGAGTTCTCCGACTGTGCTTATGGCTCTAACTATTGATTGAATTTAGTTTAGACTTCCTACTATATCTCTCACTCCAGTGTGTTCAAATGATATTCTGCAGGTTTAGGATCTGACCAAAAACTTTCAATTCCCATTTTGCGGTTAGTTCTCCTCCTAGGCCTATACCAGCAATGTTTTATTGCCAAACATTTATACAGGCTTTAAGCCATTGTTTACCCAAATTTACCTAACAGCTGCCATCTCCCTAGTGGCCTTGATGGGGACAGGAAGCCTGTGGCCTGTCAGAGCACTACTTTCCCTTCCTTCTTGAGGTTATCTCGAGATGATTTTGGGGTTTTAGTGTCTCTGCGGCCTGGTCCTTGACCAGGCCTCCACTCCCAGGAAGCAGCCCGTGACAGCCGACTAACTCACAGGTACCTTTTTTACTGCTAGGTAACAGGGGGCATAGAGTGAAAGAAACTCTGCCCATTGTTTCTTGCCGGCGCCCGGGATCAAACCCGGGACCACAGGATCACGTGTCCTGCGTGCTGTCCGCTTGGCCGACTGGCTCCTTTCCCCAATGTTCCTGAGGATTTTTTCTAACTGGATTTTAAACTAATGTGATGTGGTGGCATTTAGAGCTTCAGCAGGTGATCAATCAAGATATTCCATGGACAGGAGTGCAAGAAGTGGGTAATCAATTTTATACCTGTAGTTGATTTTGAGTTTTACTACGCTTCGATCCCCAGCCCGAGGTTATAGGGTGACTGAATATTTACAACAGTGAGATCTTTGGCCTCAAAAATATTTAACAATGTTACGTGCTGAAGCTCGGCATTAGCAAGACATTGCTCGGGTGCAATGTCTTGTCACTATTACTTACCTCTGTTTGGAAACAGCCAAGTGCATTAAATCATTACTCAACTGATGCATGAACAATAGTCGGCACACACAGAAAACAATAATAATCATCCACATTCATTCCTCACCCTAGTGTTCAGTGAAGATGTGTCGGCTATCATCAATGCAGGCGAGTCAGCCATCATCAATACAGGTGAGTCAGCCATCATCAATGCAGGCGAGTCAGCTATCAATACAGAGTCGTCACCAGGTGCTCCATATCTGAAACTAAAGACAGAAATCACTACAAGGCATAAATCACACAAATTGAAAACATGAGAACATATAGGATAGGGCAACACACTAGGGAAATAGGTCAGGAGTCATTGCATTAGACAACCAACGGCTAGAAAAGTGGGATCCAAGAGTTAGAGCTCGATCCTGCAGGCACAAATAGGCGAGTTCAAATAGGCAAGTATTCACACACACACACTAGATTGGTTAAAAAAAGGTGGGACCCAAGAGCTAATAGCTAAATTTTGCAGGCACAAATAAATACACTATAGTGTATAGACTAGGGAATAACACCACACCATGCACCATATAGGCTAGGGGATAACACCCACACCATGCACCATATAGGCTAGGGGATAACACCACACCATGCACCATATAGGCTAGGGGATAACACCCACACCATGCACCATATAGGCTAGGGGATAACACCCACACCATGCACCATATAGGCTAGGGGATAACACCCACACTATGCACCATATAGGCTAGGGGATAACACTCACACTACGCACCATAGAGGCTAGAGGCATAACACCCACACTACGCACCATATAGGCTACGGGATAACACTCACACTATGCACCATATAGGCTAGGGGATAACACTCACACTATGCACCATATAGGCTAGGGGATAACACCCACACTATGCACCATATAGGCTAGGGGATAACACCACACTATGCACCATATAGGCTAGGGGATAACACCCACACCATACACCATATAGGCTAGGGGATAACACCCACACTACGCACCATATAGGCTAGGGGATAACACCCACACTACGCACCATATAGGCTACGGGATAACACTCACACTACGCACCATATAGGCTACGGGATAACACTCACACTATGCACCATATAGGCTAGGGGATAACACCCACACTACGCACCATATAGGCTACGGGATAACACTCACACTATGCACCATATAGGCTAGGGGATAACACTCACACTATGCACCATATAGGCTAGGGGATAACACCCACACTATGCACCATATAGGCTAGGGGATAACACCACACTATGCACCATATAGGCTAGGGGATAACACCCACACCATACACCATATAGGCTAGGGGATAACACCCACACTACGCACCATATAGGCTAGGGGATAACACCCACACTATGCACCATATAGGCTAGGGGATAACACACTATGCACCATACAGGCTAGGGGATAACACCCACACTACGCACCATATAGGCTAGGGGATAACACCCACACTACGCACCATATAGGCTAGGGGATAACACCACACTATGCACCATATAGGCTAGGGGATAACACCCACACTATGCACCATATAGGCTAGGGGATAACACCCACACTACGCACCATATAGGCTAGGGGATAACACCCACACTACGCACCATATAGGCTAGGGGATAACATCCACACCATACACCATATAGGCTAGGGGATAACACCCACACTATGCACCATATAGGCTAGGGGATAACACCCACACTAGACACCATATAGGCTAGGGGATAACACCCACACTAGACACCATATAGGCTAGGGGATAACACCCACACAATGCACCATATAGGCTAGGGGATAACACCCACACTACGCACCATATAGGCTAGGGGATAACACCCACACTAGACTCCATATAGGCTAGGGGATAACACCCACACCATGCACCATATAGGCTAGGGGATAACATCCACACCATACACCATATAGGCTAGGGGATAACATCCACACCATACACCATATAGGCTAGGGGATAACACCCACACCATGCACCATATAGGCTAGGGGATAACACCCACACCATGCACCATATAGGCTAGGGGATAACACCCACACTATGCACCATATAGGCTAGGGGATAACACCCACAATGAGTCCTATTACATCTGTCCAGGGAGAGTTACTTAAGTTCCTCCTGAATTATATACACTCAGTATACTGGTGAGGGTACACCATTGGTAAACTGGCAGAGTATGCCATTGGTAAACTGCCTGAAACGCTACGCGTGCTAGTGGCTTTACATGAATGTATAAAGTCTCTGTACTCGACTCTGTACTCTAATAAACCCAATGTACCTTCTTATATATTAATAACTACATAAATAAAATAAATAACTGGCAGAGTATGCCATTTGTAAACTGCCAGAGTATATGCCATTGGTAAACTGACAGAGTATATGCCATTGGTAAACTTTTTTTTTTTTTTTTTTTTTTTTTTTTTTTTTTTGGGGGGGTAAAGAGGAAGGAGAGGCATAGGTGAAGGGAAGTATAGAAGTGGGAAATACAGTGAGAGGTATGAAAGCAGGCGGGCTGTCCGCCTTGCTGACACGATGTGTGGGTGTTGGCAGCTAAGCTAAGCTGGCTCCCTCTTGTCAGGGAGCTGTGAGTGTGTGAGAGGTTCTTCACGTGTGTTTCACCATATATGGATGTCCATAGATGAATACTGTGAAGCATTCATATATACACACTCCGATGCTTCCACACACGTTATTCTGTTTAATGCTCTTTATTTTATTATTATTATTTATCGAGTTGTCATACATATTATTTATCGAGTTGTTCATACATACACATATATGAACTGTACATATATATACATATATAACTCATCTTGGGATTATATACTGTGGGGCGGGGTTTTCGTCCAGAGAATCGAGGCTCTTGGGCCACCAGCTGTGGGAGCGGGGCGTCTCATCTTGGAGTAATCTTTCAAACATTGGGTCCTCTAACATTTCGATGGTGTTCCACACCCTGATGGCTTGGTGCTGCAGTCTGATGTTTAGTGGCTGTATGTTCAGGAGTTCGTGGAGCTCCTGGATTGTCTGATCATATGGTGGACGGTGTTTTGCTGCTCTCCTTAGCGCCTTATTTTGTACTGCTTGCAGTTTCTGCATGTTAGTTTTCTTTATGGTGTGTAGTGGTACTGGGGGATACTCTAGATGCGGCCGAACTAGAGCCTTTTATAGGTGGATCTGAATGTTAGTACTGAGGCTTCGGAATCTTCTCAGTTTTCCTAATGCTGCTTTGGCTTTGTTTAGTCGGTCCCTTACATGAATTTGTATCCCTGTTCTATTTATCATAAGTCCCAGTATTCTACCTGCCTCCGCATATTGGATGGGCTGGTTATCAAGGATGATGGGGTCTGGGTTTCTTTTCGCAATGTGTATTATTTGGAACTTTTGTTTGTTGGTGCTAATTTTCCATTGCTTCTCAAAGTTGTTTATGAGTTCAATGGCTGCCTTGGTCTTGTCGGCTAGTAGCGGCTTTGATGGGCCCGGTTGGCATATTATTTGGGTAACATCATCAGCGTATGTGATGTATTCTCCATGTTGGGGTTGGGGTAGGTCAGCTGTATATATGTTGAATAGAGTGGGGGAGAGGCAGCTTCCTTGTGGTACTCCACTTTTCAGTTCTATTACGTCACCCAAGTAGCTGCCGATATTAAGCCTAGCAGTTCTATTGTCTATAAAGCTGCAGAGAGTAGCTGTAAATCTCTCAGGAAGTCCTAGTTCAGATATCTTATATTTTAGGCCTGTGTGCCACACTTTATCGAAGGCTTTCGAGACGTCCCTAAGCACTATATTACACTGATCTTTTTTCGACACTGCGTTGGCTATATGCTCGTAGATCAGGGCTATAGCTGTATGGGCCCCTCTGCGGTTTCTAAACCCATGCTGCCTGGTGTTATACTTCCCTTCCTCTTCCATGTACTTCACAAGTCTCTGATTGATAATTTTTTCGAATATTTTACCTGGTACTTCGAGGAGGGAAATTGGCCTGTAGTTTTCAGTTTGGGTTGGAGGTTTACCTGGCTTGGGGATTAATCGTATTGTGGCATTCTTGAAGTATGTGGGGAATAGTCCAGATGCAAGAGCTGCATTTAAGATACATGTGTATTGATGGAGTGCAATCACTGGTAGGCTGGATAATACCATCTTATTTATTTTGCTGTTGCCCGGCGCCTTGTTCTTGAAACCCATAATTGTTTTATGGACCTCCGCAATGGTTATGTGTTTCATAAGGTGGCAGTCATCGCGTATGTTGTTAAGGTCTATTGTTTGCGTCGGGAGTAGTGCTGCAGCTCTGTTATCGACTTGAGTTGTAATTTCCCTTTCATTAATTGGGCAAAAATTTAAATTTTCTTCCGGGTTTATCCTGAATATTTTTTCCCAGAACTTCCTGAATTCCTGCTCTTGTTCTCTCTCCTCATAGAGTTTATTTCCTGAGGCGTCTATGATGTAGGGTGTTTCCTCAGAAGAGCTTCCCATCAGGGTCTTTACTTTTTTCCAGAACTTCCCCGGGTTTCTGTAGTCGACTTGGATATTGCTTATTAGGTCATCCCATTGTTTGGTGTACTCTGTTTTGCATAGATCTTGCAGCTCATCTTGAAGTTCCCTTTGTAGTCTTTTGCGCTCATCCGTCCACCCGTGTTGTGTTATGAGTTGTAGAAGGTTGTTATATCTGGTTTGCAGTGTCCTGAGCGCCTCAGTAGCTGGGGGGTGTGGGAGCGTTATGTGGTGAGCTACGGGAATGTGATCAGTCATGCATTTTTCAATGGTGTTAATCCATGTATTTAACTCGGCGTTTATGCAAGATGTTTCCTTTCCATTAAAATCTGTGACACTGATTTCCTGTGCACTGCTTTTGAACGCTTCCCAGTCAGTTTTAGTGTATTGAAGCTTGTCCCCCCACAACCCCGGGTGACGCCCGTCCAAACCTTCCCACCCCCAACCCCGGGTGACGCCCGTCTAAACCTTCCCCCCCCCCAACCCCAGGTGACGCCCGTCCAAACCTTCCCCCCCCCCAACCCCAGGTGACGCCCGTCCAAACCTTCCCCCCCCCCAACCCCGGGTGACGCCCGTCCAAACCTTCCCACCCCCAACCCCGGGTGACGCCCGTCTAAACCTTCCCCCCCCCCAACCCCAGGTGACGCCCGTCCAAACCTTCCCCCCCCCCCAACCCCGAGTGACACCCGTCCAAACCTTCCCCCCCCCCAACC